CAAAATTGTATTTAAGCCCTTAGATTTCCTTAACGCTTTCTGTGCTTGGTTGTCATCCCAGTTACCAAATCTTTATATTTTGCAGTGTGATTGTAGTAGAACTTGAACAGGCCTAAGACCTGATATACGACCCATTGAAGTCAGTACAAATCATGCCACTAACTTTGGTGAACTTTGTTTCAGTTATCTAAATAATCTATTTTACCAGCTCAAAGTCGCATGCTCTGTTTTTCGCCACAGGCAGTAGCTGGAAGATACTGTTTTTTACATTCGTTGTTTGTGCTGTGGTAATGTGTGAATTTTAAGGGGCAGCCAAACCCCGATGTGCTAGACAGTGCTGTGCAAACATGTAACGTGGTGGCAATCTTTGCTCAACAAAATGTCATCACTGTTAGATTAGAACCAGTATAAAAATCAACACCTGGATGTTGTACACGGAGGTATGGAGAACTTTTAATAGAATTTTTACTCGTGTGAGTTACACATCTAAGATAATGTGAGGGAAGATAAGCACGTGAAGTGATGGTACAGAACTGTTCCTAATAGCTCAGTAATGATCAAGTTCCTTAGCCAGCATATTGCACATATGCACAGAGACAACAAACATGGGCACGTACATAAAACCATGTTTTAGATCTTTTGAATTTGGCTGATATGTCAGATTTTATAATTTGAAGATGCTGTTTGTATAAAAACTTGAGGAGTGATAGACTGGATAAAGCTGTAATGGTAATACCTAGATTTTAAGGTTTATAGCTAAGAAATTGCCCTTTTTCCACCTTATGTAAATATATTAAATGTATTTCTGTGCTTGATTAAAAACCCTGATATTTCAGGAAAATTTATTCCAATCATCAAAACTGTTGAAGTTTTTATAGCATTAGAACAATGAATATTTTTGTTGCATCTCAAGAACTAGAAATGTGTGCAATTACTACTATTTTGAAAGAGGCTTACTATAAAACTACTAAGAATAATTTTATATAGAAAAATTAATTATTAATCAGTATTTCTGAAGTATTGACATATGAAACTCCTTCTGCATGGAACAGGTTGGACTATGGTATTTAGGGAAAACTTTGGCAGAATTTTGTGGTGAAATCCCTGAAGAAAACCTAGTATGATAAGTAACTTTGAAAGTGACTAAATAAGTTCTGTTAATAGGTGGATATTGTTGGATGTAAAATAGTAACTCAGTAATTATATTTCTTGAGAATATGCATCAGCTATCTAGAATTACTTGGGTTGGCATCCCTCCATGGTTTCATACACAGTTAAATTAGGGCGTAGATAGTCTCAGCTGTGACTGCCAAGATGTAACTTTGCTCTCACTGTTTCTGAAGGGTTGCGCATCTAATTCACCAGTCATATTAAGGACAGTTCTTCTGCCAATATTAAATCTCACCTGTGTATCTGAATTCAGTGCTGTGGTGTTTTTGACTCATGTCATCGCCAGTAGTGCAGCATCTGCAACTGGAATTTAGCCAATAACTATTGATGACAGAAGGTCCAGAATAGAACCCATCTTACTTTCCCAACCAGTGTTAACTCTTGCACCGCTGTCAGTTAGGCCAGTTCTGCACTTGGAACTGAATCAATGCATCTGTTAATGATGCACGCACAGAATCCAGCTAATTTTCCGCTATAATGGCTCTGGCTGCGTAGAAAAAAGCAAAGGATTTTTCCCCCCCCTGTAATCTAATCAAACTTTGTTTTCGATATGCACAAAAAATTGATCTGATAAGAAAGAAATTGTCATTTTTTACTGGCAGCAGTAACTTTTATGACACATCTGGCCTAGATGTTTCCTGACAGTATCATGGAGTGAGTAGTGAAGTAGTAAGGAAGAAAACCAGAACACTGATTTCCAGATCTTTGACTGAATTTATACATCAGCTTATTAAGTTGATTTTGGTACTACTTATCTATTTTAGTAATACCTGTAAATGTTATTTTCTTTCCATGATGTAAAAATATGTGCATAAAAAACACTTGTAGAAGGGTGTGTATAGATTGTTTGTGAACACGTACAGGATGCTAAAAGAGGCCCAAGAGAGGCCATGTAGAGAAACAGGGCAAGAATATCAGTACGGTAAGAAAGGTGATCTATCACAGTGTGCTAGCTGTCTGCCCGCAACAGCACCGTGCCAAGATGCCGGTCAGCTTTGCAGCTGTGTGGCTTTGTGCCTTGCGCTGCTTTTGTATTCACGGCACTTACGCATTAAGAAGTACCTTTACGGAGGCTTTCATCTCAGTTGTGTAAAGCTTTCTGTGAAATACAGATATTGTAAGGTCTAGCTGTGAGGAACTGTACAGCAACCCAGATGGAGGTAGAGACCTGTGAGAACACCCGTGTATCAGCGAGTTAAAGCATGTGGAACAAGGTTTTCCAGGATGCTGTGACCTTTTTCATAACCCGGCCCTCTTGCTTGCTTTTCTTCGTGTATGAGAAGGTAGAGGGGCTCGGGAGCAAACGGAGGTGGATGGATAGCTGCTCGTCCTGAAGAAAAAGGCATCGGCCCCTTTTCTTCTTCAGCAGCTCTGGAGGGAGAAGGTTCTTCGCGTCGTATTTTTGGAAAAGGGGGGGCCTCGTGTGGTCAGCCGTGAGAACAGCTGCCTGCCGGGCTGGGGTGTGTGTGTGGGGGGGAGCCCAGCCGCAAGCGCTCCCCAGCGCAGGGTGCCTGCGCGCCCTCCTTCAGCTGAACTGTTGGTAGGCACGGCAGGACGGCGAACGCGGCCGTGCTGGTGGTATTTCACAGCGATGCCGATGACAAGGTTAAAGGAAGAAGAAACACCCGGCTATGATGGCGGCGGCTCTGCTATTGGAAAGGTCCGAAGTAGGAAATGCTGTTCTCACTGGCCCTTTTTCCCTTAGGTACCTTTCATTGCCTTTCTAGGCATCTAAAACAGGTAACAAAACAGAATTCAAACTCAGAAGTCCATGTCTGATGTTGAATTTATCAGTTGAACGAGAGAATTGAAATGGAGCAGCGGCCTGTCTGGTAACTGACAAAATGACAACATTTTGATTCAAAGGCAAAATTAAGAAAAAAAC